CGCTCCGGGATGCTGTGCCTGCACACAGCCGAGCCCGTCGGCCCACTCTGAGATGCCGGGACCTCGCGGGCGCCGGGGTTGCACCGCTGGGACTGATCCCATTGCTATTAGCAGTTTTTTTGTTCCCGGGCGAAGGCGCCCTTCCAGAAAAGTATAGCGGGCATTTTCTCGCTCCTGGGAGAAGGGAGTTGGGAAGTGACAGAAAGGGGAGGCCGCGCTTTATGAGGAGTTAGGTGCTGCGGCAATGACTGCGCACCAGATGATCAGTTTACAGAGCATGGGCTTCTTTTGCTTTATTTAATTAAAATTTTTATGTATATGTGAGTGGCTGCACATGCGTTTGTGCACTCCATGGGTGCCTGTGTTTGCGGAGGACAGAGGGGCGCTGGAGCTGGGGCTACAGGCGTTTGAGGAGCCAAGTGGGTGCTGGGAACGATCTTGGGTCCTCTCCAAGTGCTTTAAGTGCTCTTTAACCCAACAGTCATCTTTCCAGCTTCCGGGCTTGTCTTTTTCCTTTCTCTTTCCTTCCTTCCTTCCTTCCTCTCCCCTCCTCCCTTGCTTTTTTCTCCAGAACAAGACAGAGTCGCATATAGCTCAGTCTGGCATATCAAACTGTCAAGGAGCTGAGATGACCTGAATCTCCTGCCTCACCAGATCTCTGTGGTTTCCCAAAGTCTTCTTGCAGATACTATTGAAGGCCCTTCTGGGGTCAGGCTGGACCAAGGGAGTCGTGCAAGTCACGCTTTAGGAAGAAGCTGTCCAGTGTGCAGCATTGCACAGCGGTTGAGACCCACAGTAGGACGCTTCCAGAAGGAGTCCCTGGAACCAGGAAAGTTGCGCCCCACCCCCACCGCACCCAAGTAGCCCTCAGAATGAAGCAGGTGCTCAGGTTATGGGAACACTTGTCTCAAAGCCACTGGGTGGGAAGAGGGAGGAAGAAAGGGCTTTTCCCTTATCGGGACACTCTGGCCTCAGTAGAAAATAAAACTCAGATTATAAGAGCATCTTCCAAGGGCCAAAAGCATTTCTAAACTCTGCTTTTCTAAGGCTGGCTTACCCTCAGGAGATGTACACACCCTAGGGCAGCTGACTCACCCCACTCCCCAGTGCAATAAAGAACTGTATTATTTGGTTTTTCAAGACAGGTTTTCTCTATGGCTTTGGAGACTGTCCTGGAACTAGCTCTTGTAGACCAGGATGGTCTCGAACTCACAGAGATCCGCCTGTGTCTGCCTCCTGAGTGTTGGGATTAAAGGCATGTGCCACCAACGCCCGGCTAAGAACTGTATTATTAAGGCAGTTCTGGTCCCAGGTCCCTTCGTTCCAACATTCTACAATGCAGGCTTCACCAGTGCCCTAAATGCCAGAGCTTAACTAATCTAGTCAACCTAATCTTCCTAGCTCACAAGAGGATAGATTCTGGGCTTTTCCGGGTCAGAGGGGAACAGGCAGCAATGAGAAAGATGACTTAGTCAAAGCATGTTGTTCTGAGGATGTATTAAGGCTTTGTTAGCAGCAGGGGAATCCGTCTCTGATGGACTGGACTGAACTACAAGTAGCATTGCAGAAGACCCCCCCCTCCTTTTTTTTTTTTTTTTAAAGACAGGGTCTCTCTGTAGCTTTGGAGCCTGGCCTGGAACTCAGAGATCCACTTGCTTCTGCCTCTCAAGTTCTGGAATTAAAGGTGTGCATCACCACTGCCCAGCACAGAAGCTCTTTTATCGATTGTTAAACAAAAGGAATTTTAGCACTGGGTGGTGGTGGAGCACACCTTTACTCCCAGCACTCCAGAGGCAGGGCAGGTGAGCCTCAGTGAGTTTGAGGCCAGGCAGCCTGGTCTAGAGAGCACAGTTAGGGCTACATAGAGAAAGTCCCCCCTGCCCCCGCCCCAAAAGCCTTTAGCAAGTCATTTCCAGCATAACAAAACCTCTTATCTGATCTAGTTGTCCGAGGAAACCCCTCAGTATTTGTAAGAATTCCAGGTTTGCCAGGAATCTTTTAAGACTTAATATGTATGCAGCATTCTGTCTACATGTCTGTCTGCAGGCCAGAGGAAGGCACCAGATCTTACTAAAGATAGTTGCTAGGAATCGAACTCAGGACCTTTGTAAGTGGGGCCTGTGCTCTTAACCTCTGGCCCCCTTCCAGGAATGTCTTATCAGTCATGCTAAGACTGAAATTCCCAAGGAAGAACCCCCATAAATCTCAGATAACAATGATTATTTACAAGAGATCACTTGAAGGCCTAAATACCATCACTCCAGAGTAAATGCCAGGTGCATTGGCTCTTCTAATTTTACTACAGAAGCAGGGATGCAGCCTGGTGGTGGTGCACTCGGGAGGCACAGGCAGGTGAGTCTCTGAGTTCGAGACCAGCCTGGTCTACAAGAGCTAGTTCCAGGACAGCCTCCAAAGTCACAGAGAAACCCTGTCTCCAACCCTTCTCCTGCCTCCCCAACAACAACACCTGGGATGCTATGGGAACAGTCACCACCAGAGTTCCTCCATCTTCCTAAGGAGTGGGAGCAGAGAACTCTAGTGGCATGCCTGGTTGTCCCTACACCTTAGCAGAGGCAGTAAGAATATGGTCTCCACTCCCAGAATTTATTTTAATGTGTGTGCATGTGTATATGCAGTGGCTGAAGACCGATAGTAATGCCTTCTTCCATTGCTCTCCACCATATTCAGCAAAACAGGGTTTCTCATTGGAACCCAGAGTTCACCAACTCAGCTGATCAAGCTAGCCACTTGCTCTGAGGATCCCATTTCCACCTCCCCAGTATTGGGATTATAGAAGACTGCAATGCCTACTCTGGACCTCAAGCTCGTGAGGCAATCACTTTACCCACTGACCTATCTTCCCCAGCCACCTAAAATTAATTCATGAATGAGTGTTAACTGCTGCTACCATGTCTTAGTCTTGAATCTGGGCCACATCTATAATCTCAGTACTCGGAGGTGACTGCCAGCCTAGGCTACGTGGCAAGGTCCTGTCTCAAAAAAATTATGGTTTAAACAAACAAATCTCTACTGCTAATACAAGAATATTCAAATTTCTTAGCTTGGGTGTGGTAGAACACGCCTGTAATCTCAGAGTGAAGAACTCCAGAGCCTGAAACTCCAAGTCCAAGGTCTGGTCTACATGGTAAGTTCCGAGTTTTCCCCACTGTAGTTGTCTTCCAATTATTCTACTCAGGCCCACAACTTTTTCTTTAGAAACAATTTTTATTTTCTGTACATTGGTGTTTTGTCTTCGTGTGTATCTCTGTAAGGGTGTCAGATTTTGGAGTTATAGACAGTTGTGAGCTGCCATGTGGGTGCTGGGAGTTCAATCTGGCTCCTCTGGAAGAACAGTCAGTTCTTTTTTTTTTTTTTTAGTAGATTTATTTATTTATGTATGTATACAGTCTTCTGCCTGCATGCCAGCAGAGGGCACCAGATCTCATTCAAGGTGGCTTGTATGAGGCTCTGGGCTTACAGGTATGTGTGCGTGCCTCACCACCTGGAATTTTACCAACAACACCGTGACTTTCAGACAGTAATACGCTGTATCCTTCTAGCCTTTAAAAATTTTCTAGAAAAATTTGAGTGTGTGTTTTGCCTGTATGCATTTTTGTACAATGTATGAAAACCTTCAGTGACCAGAAAAGGGTGGTAGATACCCTAGAACTGGAGTTACTGACAGTTGTGAGCCAACATGTGGTTGGTGGGAATTGAACCCAGGTCCTGTGCAAGAATAACAAGTGCTCTAAACTGCTGAGCCATCTCTCCAATTCCTTAAAAGACATTTTTTAACATTTCAATGTATGTGTATGTTTGTGCTATGGAAGAGTGTGGAGGTCAGAGACAACCTGCAGTTTTCTCCTCCTGCCACAAGGATCTTATCCAGCCATGAGTGAACTAAATCCTTTACCCACTGAACCACCTCTCCAGAGACACTGTGTGTGTGAATCTCAGGGTCACGGAGGAGTCATGTGTCAGGGTCACCTGGGTGTGTGTGTGTGTGTGTTTTGGTTTTTCGAGACAGGGTTTCTCTGTGGCTTTGGAACCTGTCCTGGAACTGGCTCTGTAGAAATCCACCTACCTCTGCCTCCCAAGTGCTGGGATTAAAGGCCTGCTGTGCCACCACTGCCGGGCTGGGACATTCTTGTATAAAGATCACTCATAGTGTCAATGCCATGGTACTTTGATGGCACTGATTTTTTCAAGGACTGCCCTGTGCTTCACTGGTCCTGGGTCTTGCTGCCCACTAAGCATATTCACTAGTAGGGCTGGAAAGTTGGCTCAAGTTGTTAAGAGCACTTGCCCTTGCAGAGGACCTGGGTTTGATTCCCAGCACCCACATGCCTCCTCAGGCTCCAGGCATGTACATAGTATACAGACAGTACACACACACACACACACACACACACACACACACACACACACAAGAAAACACTAGTGACAATTCCTTTTGTATCTTGTGAACTAACGGCACTTCTTGGGTAAACTTCATGTCCTTTCACTCCCCACTGTGTACCCAGTACAGAGCACAAGGGCAGCATACTTGAGACCAAGACAGCCCACCAGATGCTACTGTCCCTCTTACCCTGCAGTCCCTCTCACTAATGCTGTTCATATTCCTGATAACACACATCAGGACACAATCCCATTTCCAGTCTTCTTCGCCAGTCTTGTCCTCTGCCACATGGTCTGGTCTGCATCATCTTTGGAGGGACCCTGGGGTCTTTAATGGCAGGGCTTAGGGTGCGCTCCTACCTCCATCCCAAGATGACTGTAGGTAATGGCTCAATCTGTCCCCAAGGAGAGGAGAACTAACACTTCCAAGTTACTTCTTTTCCTTCTGCAGGAAGGCACTCAAAGCTGTTTTTTCCCCTAGAAGAAAAGCAGTGCTAAGTCTGGCTGGGCCTTCACAGCCCCTGGAGGAAGGTGAAGCAAAAAAGGCAACTACCTGGATACTTTGAAGGAAGACTCCACACATTTCTATAATCAGAAACTTAGTTTATTTTGAATAAACCACTCAACTTGGAGCAGATGACATCGCCTCAACTTTTCTTTGAAGAAAAACAAGGATTCTGGTCAGTTCATGAAAACACATCTTACTCTACCCCTTGCAGGGCAAAACACCAAACCAAACCAAACAAACAAAACAAAACAAAAAAACCCAAAAAACAAAGAAACCACCTCTGCCTGACCTTTAAGATGTTCCTGATAATGTTAACAAAGGATGGCCTCCACAGGTGAAGCACGGCCAGCTCTGGCTGCCAGAGCCTCCTGCAGTGCCAATGGTCAGGATCACAGCCCATGTATAGGAGCATGGCAGCTGTGCAGTTCAGATAGTACCCAAGGGGGTTTAGGCTGCAGAGCTGCAACTCTGGTTCTGTGCGTGTCATGGCCGCTGAAAGGACTTGATGGAGAAGTCTGTGCACCAACACAGAATTCACATGCCACCCCTGGGCCTGCAGCAGGAATGAATACTCCTTGTTTACAATGAGCTCCCACTTTTATCTTGGGTTCAATTACTGTATACCAAATTACTTCTCCCAATCCACCCCACCATCTCTCATTTGTCGGGGACAACATGAAGAGACAAAACCTGAGAGGTGAAAGAATGTGCAGCTGGCCAACTACCCCAGCAGTCACAGCTGTCACCTGTCTTAAAGAACAACTCAATTTTACAGCTTTACATGGTACCTAGGTAATTGCTGACTGGAGGTGAAATGTATGAATATCAAAGAGTCTGCATCATAATATTCACAGATTTTTCTCTATGGGCTCTCCCAGGAGTCCAAGGAGGCCCTGTCAAGTATTGACAGCTCTGCCAGTCTCAGAGGGGAGGCACTGAACAAAGCCACAGAAACCCCAGAGATCACAGATCTAACTTTTCAAAGGCCCACAGGACCAGGTTCAAGACAGGAAGGACAGCAGGCAAGCTGCTTGACTGTACAAGAGCTGGTCCTTTCCTCTGGCCAGCCCCTTCTTGTATAGGAACTGCCACCCCAAACCAGGATTCTCCTGGGTTTAGACTCCCAGACCTTAGAGATGGGGTTCTCTGACTGCTGCAACTAGGCAAAGGGGACACACCCCACCCCAGAGCCAGCTTCTGACCGCACTCCAGGTTAACATAATAGCTTGTGCAAACCTAGCTGTTGAGCCACAAGGCCCGTGCCCTTAGAAGGGCCATGCTGAACTCTGACCTTGATGTTCACAAGATGCAGTAAGACAGTGTCAAACATGGCCACATGTGACACTGGTCAGAGTACACCACTTAAATACCGGATCAAAAGAAACGACCAAAGAAAAGGAAACTTATTTGGGGGAACAATTCCTTTCAAATGTGGATCTCTCATCTTTACAGGACAAAAGGAAGCACCAGTCTCCCAGTCCGGAGGTTCGAATGCCAACCTCTGCACTGCCGTGGGTTCTGGATTGGTGGCCCAACTCACTAAGTCTCACATTCAATAAAAGCAAGCCCATAGTGAAACCCTGCTATGCTCCGTGCCCTTGCTGCTCAGCTACGGCAGAAGGTACTTGACTCTCTGTGCTCCATGCCTGTTATGCAGGCCAACTCAGTTCCTTACCATCTGCCACACATACTCTTCCCTTGGGACTCCAGGTAACGTCAAAGAGGATGCTGGAAAGCAGGGACCACCCCAGGAACCCCGGCAGCACAGACATTCTGAGGCTCGGTGGGTGGGCAGCATCAAGTTACATTCTAAGTAAAGTAGCTAGAGGGTAAACACTCCAATGCCAATTTATTTTCAAAAGGGCTCTGTGTTATCCTATGGTTTGCCTTTCTTTCAAATCGTACAACCTTTGAAAATTACATAAGTTGTAATGATCTAATACTATTAATAGCCATTCAGGAAAAAAAAAAGTTCCCTCCCTCCCAACAACCATCCAGGGAGAATTTAAAAGTCCTTACTAGAGGCCAGTTCAACATGGCCTCTACCCTGGTAGAAACAAAAAGCAAAAAGATAAGGAGAAAACAAATTGACTAAGAGGTGTGTTGCCAGTGTCTCTCAGGAGTGGGCCTGGCTGTTGCCTGGGGTCGTGAAAGGCAGAGCCTGCAGCATGCAGTGTGGTAGCCGGAAGGCCTCACAGCTACGTCTTCCTCACCCCGGCACATCCACAGCCTGCCTAGGTGTCGTGAAAGTCCTTCAGCAGGGTTCTTCTCCGCTGCTCGGCAATGTGCATTTGGTTTTCCAAGTCCTGTATAAGGGACACACAGCAGGTGTTTACAAGTCCCAATGCTAGGAGCAGAGAGTAACCAAAGCCACAGCCATCGTTATTAGGGGCTCCAAGTAGTCTAAAAAAAAATCAATCTTCCACCCTCGACTGCAGCAGCGTAAGTCCCATCCCCAGTACAACCCCCTAGTAGTATGAGTGCCTTTCCTTACCTGCAATAGGGCAAAAGGTACTTACCCCTCTATCATAGCTGTCTGCACGCTCAACTTTCCACGAAAGGTTTTCAATCTCAGCCTCCAGCTGAGCCTGCTGGTATTCAAACTGTATGGGCAGAGCAGGAGGGTCAAAAGGAGAGGGGGCTGTAGCCGGGCAGGGCCTGCAGATGGAGGGTACATGCAGCACCTCAGGCTCGAAATAGCAACTGACAAGCCTGTCACTGTCCTGAGAGTGCCTACTACTCGTTATGCCTGAGCTGGAAAACATCCAAAGAGGTCCAGAAGAGAGGGGCAAACAGCAAGAAAATATTTGTCTTCCACCACCAATGGAAGGTGAGAAACTTAAAGCCAAAGGAAAAGATATTCTCAAAATAATGGGACACAGATGCTGCAAAAGTGAAGTTAAAAGGGATATTCTCAAGACACGGTATTCATTCAACATTTTAACTTTCCCCCAGTCATCTAGCCTATCAAACCCTCAAAATCAGGGCTAGGGATGCATCTCAGTTGGTGAAATACCTACCAAAATGTACAAAGCCTTGGGTTCAGTTCCCAACATTGTAAATTGTGTATGGTGGTTCATCCCTGCAATCCTAATACTAAGGATAAAAGCTCTAGGTCCTCCTTGGTTACTTTGCAAGTTTGAGGCCAGCCTGAGCTATATGAAACCCTAACTCTATGCATAAAGACTTTTCTTGGTCTTATTTGTGACAGTGAAAATAGAAACAACTGTCATTTCAAATGATGATACAATAAGGCAATACAGATGGAACATTTACATAGCCATTAAAAAAAAAAATCAGCCTTTGGGGGTGCACACCTTTGATCCCAGCACTCTCGAGGCAGAGGCGGGCGAATCTCTGTGAGTTCGAGGTCAGCCTGATCTACTGAGAGAGTTCCAAGACAGGCTCCAAAACAATACACAGAAACCCTGTCTGGGGGGAGGGGGCGGGGGACAAAACAAAATTCAGCATAATTAGCGACAGCTATAACAATGATAAACTTGTAACAATAAGGCCGGGTGTGGGCGTTAATCCCAGCACTCGGGAGGCAGAGGTAGGTGGATCTCTGAGTTCGAGGCCATTCTGGTCTCCAGAGTGAGTGCCAGGACAGGCTCCAAAGCTACACAGAGAAACCCTGTCTTGAAAAACCAAAAAGTAACAATAAAATGTACACATGCATCTGAGATAAGAGTTTCTCTATATAATAGCCCTGGCTGTCCTCAACTTTTCTTTGTAGAGCAGGCTGGCCTTGAACTCAAGAGATTTGCCTGATTCCGCTTCCTGAGTGCAGAGATTAAAGTATTGAGTGCCACCACTGCACGAGGTCATATTTTTTAAAAAAGATTTATTTATTATGTATATAGTGTTCTGCCTCCATGCCAGAAGAGTTACATCAGATCATTATAGATGGTTGTGAGCTTCCATGTGGTTGCTGGGAATTGAACTCAGGACCTCTGGAAGAGCAGCCAATGCTCTTTACCTCTAAGTCATCTCTTCAGCCAGGCCCCTGATTGTTTGAGACAAGGTATTGCTATGTTGTCGAATATTGTTGTAAGGTGTATTACATTTGTTTATATGCTGTGGAACATTTGTTTTAATAATGCAAAGATGTATTGCATTCCTTTATGTTGCACTTGTTTAGCTTGGTGAAGCCGTGATTCTTTGCCTGTCTAAAACACCTGATGGTCTAATAAAGAGCTGAATAGCCAACAGCAAGGCAGGAGAAAATAGGTGGGGCTGACAGGCAGAGAGAATAAATAGGAGAAATCTGGGAGAAGAAGGAGCAAAATAGAACGAGGAGATGAGGGCTTCAGGGGCCAGCAACCTAGCCAGCCACAGGCATAAGAGTGAAAGTAAGATACACAGAGGAAAAGGAAAAAGCCCAGAGACTAAAGGTAGTTAGGGATAATTTAAACTAAGAATAACTGGCAAGAAACAAGCCAAGCTGGGTGGTGTGCACACGCCTTTACTTCTAGCACTTGGGAGGCAGTGGCAGGTGGATCTCTGAGTTTGAGACTAGCTTGGTCTATAAGAGCTAGTTCCAAGCCAGACTCTAAAGCTACACAGGGAAAACCTGACAAAATAAAACAGAAAGAGAGAAAGGAAGAAAGGAAGAAAGGAAGAAAGAAAGAAAGGAAGGAAGGAAGGAAGGAAGGAAGGAAGGAAGGAAGGAAAAGAAAAGAAAAGAAAAGAAAAGAAAAGAAAAGAAAAGAAAAGAAAAGAAAAGAAAAGAAAAGAAAAGAAAAGAAAAGAAAAGAAAAGAAAAGAAAAGAAAAGAAAAGAAAAGAAAAGAAAAGAAAAGAAAAGAAAAGAAAAGAAAAGAAAAGAAAAGAAAAGAAAAGAAAAGAAAAGAAAAGAAAAGAAACAAGCCAAGCTGCTGGACCATGGTGGTGCATTGCATGCCTTTAATCCCAGCACTGGGGAGGCAGAGGCAGGTGGATCATCTTTGTGTGTTTGAGGCCAGCCTGGTCAACAAAGTGAGTTCCAGGACAGCCATGTCTCGAGAAACCCTGTCTCGAAAAACAAACCAAATAAAAAAGAAAGGAGCCGGGCTGGAGGGATAGCTCAGCCATTAAAGGCTAGGCTCACAACCAAAAAAAGAAAGGAGCCAAGCTAAGTAAAAGACTTCATATATGACTTATTTGGGAGCTGGGTGACAGGCCCCCTAAGAACAAAGAGCAAAAGAATAAAAAAAATGACATTTTGGTATTCCAATGTGGGGCTAGAGTAAAAGAAAATCCAACTATACTATGTAGTCTAGGCTGGACCAACACAATCCTTTGTATCTGTACTGCTAGGATTATAGGTGTGTGCAACCAGGCCTGACACTGTTTTATTGGTGCTGGGATGGAATCCAGGACCCTCATATATGATAGGCAGGGACTCTCCCATGAAGCCGTACTTCCCAAAACAATTTTAAAGGCTAGAAAATGATAACTGTGACCTTGTGCCCCTCCCACCCCCACTGTAGGATAATGAATAATATAAATGCTACGTTTTCCACTTTTAAGTGATATATAACAATACTTTATCACCATCAGAAACAACCATATCTAAGAGGAAGAACTAAAGGAATAAAACAGCAAATATAATGTAAGGATGTGCATGGCATGGCCACTGGCTATCCAAGTGGTCATAGACTTTTGAGCCTATTGCATGTGAGGTCTAATTATAGATGCTCCAGGCAGAAATGGAATTTTACAGTAAGACAGTTTGACTATATTCTCCCAGTGATCTGGTCAGAGCCCTGTTCACTTGCCAAGTACTGGTTAAGAATGGGCCCCTCTAAAAGCTGCAGAAGACAGAAAGGCAACTTTGGCTTACCAGCTTCTTCCTGGGACCAGACTCCATGTAGTACGCATAGGGATAGGTGTATTGCAGGGTGTATCGACACTGTAAGAAAAAAAAAAAAAAAAAAGAAAAAAAAAAGGACCTGTATCTTTCTAACTGACCCACGGCCCAGATGGCTCTTACAATTCGTATTCAACCATGCGAACGGCTGACTGTAGGCATGTGGACCTTAAAGCAAACTATAGAGATGATGTACTAGAGAAGACAGGGAAAACTGAAACAAGAATGGGCACAGATGGTCAAACTGATTCATTACCATCAGTTACCTCATGATTTTTCCATCTTTAGTTGGACATTCGGGTTTTCTCAGTGTTGGCAGGGGGCAGTAAAACCGCTCAAATAAACTCTTGGACATTTAGCAAAGGCTGGGACTTCTGGTGTATTCAGCACAGGGAAATGTGCACCCATAGATGTGCATGCAGAGCGATGCAGGACACAAACTCCACCTCCTTTCAGAGGAGGCTTCTCAACCCTAATGTTTGCAGCAAGCAGGGACAGGGCTGGGACTTGTGCTGGAAGAGTGAGATGGTAGATACCTTGGCCAAGAGTTTAGCAGCATTCTGCAGATACTGCCAGTCAATCCACGTTCCCAAATTGTTCATAACCCTCTCTTGAATCTTTTCATGAATCCGCTGGTAAGTTTGTGCCTCTAGCTGTAAACTTTTGTTGTGGTTTTCCCACTACAAAGCAGAAGAAAGAAAAATGTACAGCAGTCCCAGTACTGCATAGAGATCAACACAGAAGTTTAGGACAAACACCCCGTGGGCCATGCCCACAGATGGAAAAGACTGACCATGATCCATCATTCAAATAAGGTAATACCAGGTCCTTTTCCATTCAGCTGTGGTTGTCCAGCACAACTGAAAAGCCACAATTGCAAGAGGCAATACTCAGGCAGGGACAGAGCTCCATTCACTGACTTCCACACGTACATGGCATCCCAATGATCTCACCTCAGCAGGGCAAGTGCAAGAAACCTACTCTGGAGGGGCAGGTATATGATAAGACACCTACCCTCTCAAAGTAGAACAAGTACTTCTTGAGGGCCTCCCTGGCCTGGGCTTGCTGGCTCTGGTTGACAATGTCGGGATTCTCCTTGTACCGACTACACTCATAGTACTCACTGCCATGTGTCTTCCAATCTCCTAGACACATCCAGCAGAAGTCTGCACAGAACAGAGGGCGAGTCATTTACCTTCACACACTCCTCTAAGGCAGAGGGGCAATGGAATAGGATGAAGGGTTAACCTGAGCACAAAGTCCCAAGGATGCCTCTTTGCAGAGGGTTGTGCAATTCTCAATCTTGTCACAACTGACTGTCCCCAGAGCTTATCAGGATAGCCAATGGCCATGAGCACACATGCTGTGCGTCTTACTGCTGACTGTACAAAGTTACTGGTCAGCTTGGTCAATGCATTGTTAAGAGGCAAAAAAATACCCACATGAGGCTACTCTGGTCATCTAGAACACATGCTGCCCATATAAACTACTGCCCTAATTACTTACCTTACAATTCCTACTTATCCTAAGATCTTATATACAAACTGGAAACAAAAGCTTTTTCCTTTTTTGGTGCGTGCGTAACTACACATATGTACACAGATGGAAGACAGGTTAATTCTGAGTGTTGTTCCTCAGTTGCTACTTATCACTTTATTTCTTCCTTTTTCTCTCGAGACAAGGTTTAGGATTCACGTAGCCAGCAAGTTCCAGAGTTTACCTGTCTCTGCCTATCCAACATTGAGATTACAAGTATATGTCAGCACACTGGCTTTGTTACTTGGGTTCTGGGGACTGAACTCAGATTGCCATGTTTGTGTGCGTATTAGTAAAAAAATCTATCTACTCAATAGTTCACAGGCAGAATTACAATTAGAATTCTATTTCCACACTGAGGAAGGCAAGAAGAAAAAAATCTAAAATTGTTATGTAGGGCTGGAAAGGTGGCTCAACAGTTAAGAGCATGGACTGCTCTTCCACAGGTCCTGGACTCAATTCCCAGCATACACATGGCAGCTCACAATTACCTGTAACTCCAAGATCTGATACCCTCACACAGACATACTCTCAGGAAAACAATAATGTGCATAAAAATGAATAAATTCTAAAAAAAATTCTCTGCTTAAAAAAAGTATGCTATGTATCCAAATAATTGTCATTTAATAGAGAGGTCACCCACAATTTTGTTAGATGTCCAAGATTTAGTCTGTTATGTTCTGTTTCTTCCAGAGAACCTATCAGTGGTAAATCCTGTTCCCCAGGATTTACACTTTAACCTGGGTACTGACTTTCCAAAAGGAGTTTTTAGGACATTTTGGAGAAAGAAAAATCAAATGCAGGCAGACACATTTATTCAACTTCTGTTTCCTGGAAGCCCTTGCCTAACAGTGGGTTACATGGTCCCTTTCTTAATCAGTTAGGTTGTTTTAAGGGATAATACATTGCTTAGGGTTGTTCTAGTGATAGAATTATATAGCAAACTCTGGCTGTGGAGAGACAAGGAGATGAGGCTTCTTAGCCACTAGAAATGTCTGATAGAGTTTCTGTACTTTTCTTCCTTTTCTTTTAGGTTTTCAAAACAGGGTTTCTCCATGTAGATCAGGCTGTCCTCAAACTCAAAGATCTGCCTGCTTCTGCCTCCCAAGTGCTGGGATTAAAGATGTGCACCACCAGGCCTGTCTTCCTCTTCTTTTTATGCACCAGGGTAACTGTTATGAGACCCACACTTGCCTCAAATATTTGTACTCAACCAATTCTACTGCCCAGTTTCCCAAGTAGCTGGGACTACAGGGCACCTAACACACAACTGTTCCCTGCAAAAAGCAGCAAGCACAGCAGGGAGCCTGACTACCATTCTTCTTCAAACAATATGCATGGCGATGCCCTGCTCTAAGTGTGTGACAGGAGACTTCTCCCTCTAACAAGAACCACTGTCCATAGCTTTACCACAGACACTCTTAATTACAGAAGGCTTGTGGGAATAGCACCAGCATGGGCCCTAACAAATAGGAAATTACCAAGTGTGGTGGTACTAACCTTTAATCACCACTTGGGAGGCAGAGGCAGGTGGATCTCAGTGAGTTCAAGGCCAGCCTGGTCATATAGTTAAAAGTTCTAGGCCAGCCAAGGCTACATAGTAAGACTGGTCTCAAAATAACCAATCAATGAAGACCCCCATTTTCAAAGAAATGGTCAGTCTCTTGCTCAGCAATGAAGAAATTGTAGGAACACATTTACTATCTGTAGGAACTTGATCTGGTAGGAAGGAAAGGGAAACTAGCGATCTATTGCTAGGTAAACTGGTCCTGATGGACGGAGACCCAATCAAAAGTCCTTCTGTAAACTGCTTGAGGAACTGGTTTTATAGCACCATGGCAAAACTATGGACAGCCTTTTCTAAAAGACACCTCTTATGGTGTCTCAGATAATCCTCTTGATATTTGTTTTGACAAAAAGAATAAGATACCCTAAAACCTTGAACTGAGTGTGTTGGTACATGTCTGTAATCCAACCACCTGGGAGATAGGGTCAGAGGACTGCTGCAAGTATGAGGCCAGCTAGGACCTGTTCATAAAAGTAAGATAAGGAAAAAGTAGTTTGGATGGCTGAGGAGCATGAGGGTCACATCAAACTTGACTTTTAACTACACAACAGCAAGATGGCAGTTGAATTATAAAAGGATGCTTTGCGGGCTGGAGAGATGGCTCAGAGGTTAAGAGCACCGACTGCTCTTCCAGAGGTCCTGAGTTCAATTCCCAGCAACCACATGGTGGCTCACAACCATCCGTTATGATATCTGGTGCCCTCTTCTGGTGTGCAGATATTCATGGAAGCAGAATGTTGTATACATAATAAATAAATAAAATCTAAAAAAAAAAAAAAAAAAGGATGCTTTGCTCCCCTCCACAAAAAATGGAAAGTTGCTCTTTTGCCAGTTAGAGTGATCTTAAGTGATGGAGACTCCTCTTTGTTTTGCTGTTTCATTACAAAAGAACTTACTAATAAGTAACAGAGAACAAAACACAAGAAACATAAACCGTGCCCCTGGACCGGAGAGCAGGCCTGGGACTCACCGTGCTTACACTTGGAGCATTGCTGTCAGAGAGAACAGAAGAGAGCATATTAGGAAGAGTATTTGATCAGGGGCTCCATGTCACACATGCAAATGCTGGTGTCTCTGCTCACCATATGGTTGCAGCCTCCGTTCTTCTCAATACAGATGTTGCACTTGGGACACTGAGGAGACAGAAGGGCGCCATTAGGCTCACACACCATCAACCCAGTTCTAAGAAAAATGACACAAAACTCCAATAGCTCATCACAAGCACTTCTGGGGAGGAGTGTCTCACTTAACTGTCGCTGAGGCTGGAACACCAATTCAAGGAAATGAGGTCAGCATGTTTGGCTCTGAAATAATTTGAGTACCAGCTGAACCCCACTAAGTCTCTACCATCTGACCTTGCTGTGACACCACTCAGATTAAGCCCAGGCTGGAGCAGCAGAGAGCCTGCCTGCTGGGAGAATGGCCACCCTGAACCAAACCCTGGTGAGCTTGCTTGTACTCTGGCTTCCAGAAGCGGGCCTGGAAACTACCTCAGAACTCCTCTCACTTGAAAACTGCCAGCAACCCAGCACCTAGTCTGACTCCCACCTGAGTGAAGCACTCTGTGTGGAGATCTGAGTGAGTCAGTGAGTGACTGCATAAGGAACAATGGAGAAGCTTTAATGAATGCTGAGAGCATCTGGGTTTGTATTACAGTCTTGTTATGTGTGAGACAGGCCAATCAACCACTTCACTCCCAGGGATACCAAAGCTTGGTACATACTCATTTTTATAGTTAGAAAAGTTTGACCCAGAGGAAAACTAAGTATTTTGGAATTTTATTAAAATAACTGCATCTGGGCCTAGAGATGGCTCAGCAGTTAACAGCACTGTTGGTCTTGCATAGGACCTGGGCTCAATTTCTAGTACCACACAGTGGCTCAAAATCATCCATAATTACAGTTCCAGATACATTATGCATGTGGTGCACATACATGTATTCAGGCAGAACATTCATACATATAAAGTAAAAAAAAAAAAAAAAATTAGCTGTTATTTTGAGACAGGGTCTCTCTATTATGTAGCCCTAGCTGTTCTGGAACTGTTATATGGTCCAGGCTGGCCTCAAACTTACAGATCCAGCCAGGCGGTAATGATGTACACCTTTAATCCCAGCACTCGAGAGGAAGAGGCAGGCGGATCTCTGTAAGTTTAAGGCCAGCCTGGTCTACAAGAGCTAGTTCCAGGACAGCCTCCAAAACCACAGAGAAACCCTGCCTCGAAAAAACAAAAACCAAAACAAAACAAAAACCCAAAACACATCCCAACAACCTTATAGAGAGATCTGTCTGCCTCTGTCACTGCAGTACAATGATTACATATACTGGCAACTAGGTCCAGCATGGAAAAAATTTTTTTAAAAAATAAATGCATCAAGGATAAAAACTGATAAAAATATGCTAAGTATGGCCAAAGTCCAGAGTCTGTCTCTAACAAGCTCCTAGGCTATGTGCTCTGCTCTCAGACGGCCACTCTTCAGGGCAGAGCCTCGGGGAGAATTACTTAGGGAAGTTCCATTACAGGTAACACGGTCCTTACATCTTTAGTGTGAGCACTAATGTAGTTAGCTGTTTCAGAGTCGTCTGCACACTTCGTGAGCCATTTCCGGATTGTGGCACAGTCTGTGGGGGCGTGATACATCTGTCGACACTTGAAACTTAAAATCGGAAAAGAAACACATTCAAATAATCATCAAGTCTGGGTTTCATGTTTAAAATTTTCCTCTTGTTTGAGTTAACAGATCCTGAATTAAAGCTTTAGACAAAAAAAAAAAAAAATCACTTCTTGAGATCTTAGGGACTTTACTCACACAGGGTTATAATAAAATACATTATTATTTTTTCCCACTTGAGCCTGAGACATGCTCAATAAGCCCCCATGAAGTTTCTCCTTAAACATCTTGGATTGTAGTAACCAAGCTTCAGCACCCACGCCCCCCAGATCAAATTCAAGGCCTTGCACTTTACTATAAAGCTACATTCCCTGCCCTGAGGCCAGGCTTGTGGTTTTTTTTTTTTTCCTGCAACAGGGCCTCATGTATCCCAGACCAGCCTCCAAAGATTACCTTAAACTTACGGCCTTTCTGCTTCTACTTCCTGAGTACTGGCATTACAGGCATGAACCAAATATGCCTGTTTTTTTGTGGTGTTGAAGATCAAATCCAGGGCTTTGTGTGCAACACAAGCACTCTACCAACTGAGAGAGATCTCTAGCCATGAGCTTAGCTCCTTGGAAGGCAAGCACTCTGAAGGTATTCTAAGGGTACCTCCAATTCAGGTTTAAGGTAGAACTGAAACTTTTGGGAGTTTCTCTACATCTTCTGGTCAGATATGTGTCAGGATGCACAAAAACCAGAACTTGTAAAATCTGAGGGTCCTAAGACATCTGACAGGAACTGAAGCCTAAGCCGGGCGTTGGTGGCGCACACATTTGATCCCCAGCACTCGGGAGGCAGAGACAGTCGGATCTCTGTGAGTTTGAAGCCAGCCTGGTCTACAGAGTGAGTTTCAGGACAGGCTCCAGAGCAATAAAGAGAAACCCTGTCTTGAAAAACAAAAACAAAACAAAACAAAAAAAAGAAACAGAGCTAGGACTCGTGTTCCCAATCTCCTTTTGTACAAGCCACAGTAAAGTCCACAGGCAGACAGCAGACACATGCCTTTGGGAAAGAAGCTCCTAATGTGAGACAAAGGTTGCAGAGCAATTGTTCAGTTCTCAACTCTTGGTGGGACAGAGTCCCTCACTGTCCTGAAAGGCAGAATACACACACACCCATTTATTGTGAAGTTTCTCTGAACCAGACCATCAGTCTTCCAGGGAGCTGCAATTAGGACAGACCCTGATTTAAACTATGGCTCTGCTATTTATTAGTAGGGACATTTACCTTGTCCTTTGATCTCCTCACTGAGAACACATAATGGTGACAGGCAATCTCTTAGCTGTGATATGTAGGGAAAATGGCTGGACAGTGCTCATCACTTGGAAAGAATTTGTTAAGTTTTGGTTATGCCCATGGAATTTATTGAGTGGGGAGAACCTCAGATTAGAACTCACCCATGAATCACAGTTTCATAAAAGTCAGCTAGTATCAGTTAGGTGGCACATGAACTGAATACCAGCTCTTGGGTACGGATCTCTATGACTCTGAGGCCAGCCTGGTCTACAAAGTAAGACCCAGGACAGCCAAAGTTACATAGCGAGACTCTGTCTCAAAACAACACAACAACAACAACAATAAAAATCCAGGTCAAATTAACAAAAACAAAGCCAAGGGGTATGGTATGGGGAACATAGCTCAGTTGGTAGAATGCTGGCCTAGCATGCACATGGGCCAATCCCTAGCACCCTAGCGTGGTGATAAGAGTCTGGAATCCCAGCACTGTGGAAGTAGAGGGAGGATGATCAGATGTTCAAGACCATCCGTGGTTATACTGTGAACCTGAGGTCAGACTGAGCTAAAATAGACCTTGCCCAAAATAAATAAATAAACAAATAAATAAATAAATAAATAAATAAATAAATAAATAAAAAAGGGCAGAAAAGTTTAAAACAGAGAAAGGTGAAATGTTGAAGTCATATGTAATTTGTCAGTAAAGGTAGACAATCTCTGGGTTGTGAGTATACTATAAACATAACATATTCTTCAGGAACCTGTTACTTCCTTGTCTCCAAAGTCTGTTCATTTATCAAAATACTCTGAGGACACAAAATATAGCAGCAGAGCACTCTTCTAAACTATCTCTCCCAGCCCTGCCCTCATATACAGCAACAGTGCTCTTTGGAGGAAGATGGGCCATGAGCCCAGGACTTCTCAGCACCCACTCCCTCTTACCAGAAGACCTCATTGCATCGATTGCACTGCACTCGGCGAGCTCTAGGCTCTTGTACCCGAATAACCATGGGGCAGTCTGCACCAGGGCACAGCTGGAGCTGGTAATGACTCTGTGAACACAAAGGGAAACAATATTCAAGTGCTTCTACTCTTCTAGCTGAAAACCTGTTAGGATGGGCGTTGTGAAGAACAGATATTAAATAGTTACCGAAGAATGTTTGTTTAGCTTAAAACAGGTAGCCACTAATTTCAAGTTATTGTATAAGGATGTACCAGCAGGCTGGGTGCATCCATGTATGCCTATAGTAGCTGAAGCTACTTAACTTCTTGGAAAACTAAGGCAGAAAGACTATCTGAGCCCAGGTAGTTTAAGTCAAGGCCAACCTGGTCAACATAGTGAAAACATGTCTCAGGAAAAAATGTTTTGCTGTGAATTGGATGAGAACACAGCTCAGTTACCTATGCATCTGACAGCTCACAGGCTCAAAGACCCCTAATAACTTACTCAAAGCAACAAGTTATGCAAAGATTAAGGCCAAGCTGCAGTGGTGGTGAAGGTCTTTAAGCCCACACTCAGGAGGCAGAGGTCAGGCTGGTCTAGAGTTTCATGAAAGCCAGGGCTACAAAGAGAAACCCTGTATCAGGAAAAACAAACAACAAACAAGGCTTCTGTTTACCCTGCATGTGAACAAGACAACACCAATCCAATAAGTTTTTTTTTTTTTTGTTTTTTGACACAGGGTATCTCTGTATTGTTTTGGAGGCTATCCTGGAACTCGCTCTGTAAACGAGGTTGGCTTCGAACTCACAGAGATCCACCTGCCTCTGCCTCCTGAGTGCTGGGATCAAAGGCATGTGCCACCAACAGCCAGACCAATAAGCTTTTAAAGTAATAAAAGACAACGATGAAAATTATGCTGCACAGAATCTGTAAAACTGGACAGGTAGTCTAAAAAGGGAGAGAAATCTAAAATTAATCATGGTGAAAACATGAGTAAGTTTTCAAATTGCTAGAAACCAAAACAAAAGAGAAAATAGTCCTTCTCTTTGCCTGAAGTGTACAGAAAAATCTTTTCTTTTTTGGTGGGTGGGGAGGGGTTTGAAGTCAGGGTTTCTCTGTGTAACAGCCCTTGCTGTCCTGGAACTCACTCTGTAGACCACATGGCCTTGAACTCACAGAGATCCTCCTACCTCTGCCTCCCGAGTGCTGTGATTAAAGGTGAAGGCTACCACCGCCTAGCCCCAATAGCAACTCTTGAGCTATACCAGACCCGTGCTCACTCCCTCTCACAAGCTTGCTCAGCTTGTTTAATCAACTGTGTACACTTTGAGATGACTGTCCAGATTATGGAAATAAAAACCAAGACTCAGGGCTGGGGAGATGGCTCAGTGGTTAAGAGTACTGACTGCTCCTTTCAGAGGACATGGATTCAATTCCCAGCACCCAAATGACAGCTTGCAACTGTAATTCCAGTTCCAGGGAACCTGACACACATAGCAAAAACACCAATGCACATGAATAAAAATAAATTAATTAGGTAAATTAAAGAGCAAGTGGTCTCATAACAAGGGAATAACAGATCTGGCTTTTACGTATTGTTTTTTCTGACCCCACAGCCTTTATTATATATTTTTTAAATTAAATTATGTATCTTTAAGTGGGGAATGGGTGGACACGTGCATGAGTGCAGGGACCTAAACAGGCCAGAAGAGAACGTTAGATCCCCTGGAGCTGGAATTACAGAGGGGACATGAGTGCCAGGAACTAACTCAGGTCCCCTTCAATATTCTAAACTGCTGAGCCATTTCTCCACCCACAATTTAATGGCAGCTGTGATTATACTATGTAAAGTAGGCTCAGAAGGACAAAGAGGGCAAAAGACAGGGTTGCTCATACCTCCACATAGTCCCTAAAGAGGTAGCGTCTGTATTTATCTCTCAATTCTTCATTGGGAAGCAAGGGAAATACAAAGTCCTCTGGTGTTCGGAGTGGACAATCCTGAGCCATACATGAGACTCCTGTTGAACAAAGATAATGTATTGGATAGCCAAATTACAGAAGACACATACAAAATATGTACCTAGTAGATTCAACGATCAAATTCTAATTTCATACAGGACATCCTCTGACTAAAATATCAAGAACTTATTCAAAGAGAAATTAACATCTTTCCATAGTAATGTAACAAAGATTGTACTCAATTACCCATATATCAGCATAAGCATCACTAGATAAAATTATAGGATTAGATGTAGTGGCTCACACCTTTAATCCCAGCATTGGGGAGACAGACGCAGAGGCAGGGGGATCTCAGAGAGTTTGAGGTCAACTTGGTTTACATAGTGAGACCCAGGGCTAGCCAAGGCTACACAAGAGACCTGTCCCACTGAGGCTGGCCTTGGACTCCTGATGCTTCTACTTCTTCCTCCCAAATGTTGGGATCACAGGCATGTACCACCATACCCAGGTTAACATATTGAGATTCTGCAGGTAACAATGAACCTGGTTCTAATTAGTCTTAATATTATCAAGTCACAGAACAACAAACACTCCTGTAGCTGGTACTAAAATCTGATATAGGTTATGTTGCCCAAGTAACAGAGGGAATCAAGACATGGAAGGCAGTTCAAATGACAGATCTCTTAAAGGTGAGAAAATCCCCTTGTATTCACACCAGTATCTGTAAAACTGTTAATTTTCTCATTTTGCTGGAGACTACAGAGAATTGTGCTACTATTTAGATGGGAATTTAGAAACCACCAGACTCTGGGTGCAGCTTAAATCCCAGTACTCAGGAGGCAAAGGCAGTCAGTTCTTTGGGAGTTCAAGGCCAGCCTGGTCTACAGAGCTAGTTCTAGAACAGCTAAGGCCGTTCACAGAGAAACTACCAGACCTAACTATAAAAACCTGTCAATCACAGAAGATAAGTTTGCTTTAATATATGAAAAAGCAGAGTGAAAGAAAAATACTTTCAGGCTGGAGAGATGGCTTAGCAATTAAAAGCACTTACTGCTCTAGAGGAACTGGTTCCACCCCAGAACCCATATGATGATCACAACCAACTGTAAAACCAGTTCCAGGGCATCCCATGCCCTCTTCTGACTTCTAGACGTGCCCAGCACACTTTTGCTACACAGAGCTACATGCAGACAAAACACTTATACTCAAAGGAATAAACATCATTAAAACATGAAAACAAAGATTCATTTTGAGAGCTATTATTTAAGTTTGGTGCTGACTCACCTACACCAACACCGTCTTTGACAAGTACTGAGCAATGCTGCTCCCAGCAGCTTCGGCAAAACTGATGTTGGCAGGCCAGAGAGAGTAGGTTTTCCTTCCGCACAAACTGCATACACACTGCACAGTGGTGAGGGGGATGGGCTGTGGGGACCTAGAGAGAGATGTAGCCACATAAACCAAAGACTAACCATCAAATTTAGTCATAAAGGTTCTCACAGGCCACACTGCAGTTTGTCAAGGGCAGTGGATTTTCCATATGAATATGCCCAAACCACAAAACAGACTACCTCCTGGGGTGCTCTGATACTTGGCAGAAGACCTGGGTTAGGTTCCCAGCACCCACATGGCAGCTCACACCCATCTGTAGCTCCAGGTCCAGAGGAGTTGATACCCTTTGCTGGCCTCTATTCCCATCAGGCATGCGTGTAGTGCACAAGTATACATGCAGGCAAAACACTCTTATATGAAAAGTAAAATAAATGAATTTGTTAAGAAAAGAATCAGGCAGGAGTTAAAAAAAAAAAAAAATCAGGCATGGAGGTGCACGCCTTTAATCCCCGCACTCAGGAGGCAAAGGCAGCAGTTTCAGGACAGCCCGGTCTACACAATGCAGCAAGACTCCGAAAAAGAAACAAAGAGGGGGGAAAAAAGGGAGAAAAACCAAGGGGATAATTAGGAGCAAAATAAGGAGCTTGGGCATGCTATATAATACAAAACAAAGCTGGTGCTAACACTGCAAGACACAGAGAGCCATGAACATCCAAAGAAGCCTCACTAAAACAGGAAACATTCGGGACTGGAGAGATGATGGCTCAGCAGCTGGGAGCACTGGCTATTCCTGCAGAGGACCCAGGTTCAATTCCCATCACCCACATGGCAGCTCACAACTGTCTGTAGCTCAGTTTCAGGGGATCTGACACTTTCACAGACATACATTCAGGGAAACCAAGAATGCACATGAAATAAAAATAAACAAATTATTTTTAAAAATGTTTAACCCAGGTGGTGGTGGCAAACACCTTTAATCCCAGCACTCAACAGACAGAGGAAGGTGGATTTCTGTGAGATGGAGACCAGCCTGGTTTACAGAGAGTTTCAGGACAGGTAGGGCTACACAGAGAAACCCTTTCTTGAAAAAACAAAAGACAGACAAGCAGGAGATACTTGCATGCTTTGACGGATTAGGCTGAACTCGAGCCTCCACAAGCAGCTGAGCAGAATTAGACCTGTACCTAGAAAACAAAAAGGGCAGAAATATAGAGAATCAGAAACTGAAGACATTGTTAACTCTCAATAACAGAACCATCATATGTTGTGCTTGCATTAAAGGGTTTTTGTTTTCACCTTGTCAGCACAATGGTCCATGTCTATAACCCTAACACTGAGCAAGTTTGAAGTCAATGTATTCTACATAGCGAGTTTGAGGTTATTAATAATGGTTTCCTTATTATCCTATATCATGGGTTCCAGGACAGAGCTATGTGATAGTTTTCTCAAAACAAAAACAAAAGATGGGCAGTAGGTAACCATGTAGGGCATTTTCTTCTTAATTAGTGACAGTGAGGGCCCAGCCCATTGTATTATGCCACCCCTGGGCTTGTGGTTCTGGGTGCTAAAAGAAAGCAGGCTGAACCGGGCAGTGGTGGCGCACGCCTTTAATCCCAGCACTCGAGAGGCAGAGGCAGGGGGGTCTCTGTGAGTTTAAGACCAGCCTGGTCCACAAGAGCTAGTTCCAGGACAGCCTCCAAAGCCACAGGGAAGCCCTGTCTCAAAAAAAAACCAAACCAAACCAAAAAACAAAACAAAACAAAACAAAAAACAGGCTGAGAAAGCCATGGAGAGCAAGTCAGTAAAATAACACCCCTTCATCATGGCCTCTAAATCGGCTCCTGCCTTCAGGTTCCTGCCAGGTGTGGATGTTCATCTTGGCTTTCCTCAATGGACTGTGATTCAGGATATGTAGCCAAATAAACCCTTTTGTCTCCAAGCTGCTTTTAGTTATGGTGTTTCATCACAGCAATAGAAAATATACAAGAGTTTTAGAATTCTAATACACACACACACACACACACACACACACACACACACACACACACACACACACACACACACACACCAAAATGTCAAAAAAAATCGCAGTGGGCAATTTTATCTCCTTTCCCCAAACATCTTACCTGTCCAGAATCTCTGAGACTTGCCAGTGGAAATTAACTAGTATAAGTTTTGCAACTGAATGAGATACCTGTAAGAAACAACAACAACAAAATAACAAATTTCAACTGCAGTTTCCTTCTCACAGTGCTCTCTACGTTTGAGAAGTATGCATCTACCAGTATATCACGTCCACATTCTTTCTCCTGGTTGCATGCTTTGCTTTTAAGTAAGTTAAATTTCTACTATTAGTTATTTTATACATCTCTTGTTCTTGGGTCTTTTCATTAATGTTTACTACAAAAATACAAGAATTAGATACTCACACTAGAACCAAAACCATCCTTTCTATAGCAATTAAAAATGTTGCCAGGCATTGGTGGCACACACCTTTAATCCCAGCACTTGTGAGGCAGAGGCAGGGGGGGCTCTCTGAGTTCGAGGCCAGTCTGGTCTACAGAGCGAGTGCCAGGATAGGCTCCAAAGCTACACAGAGAAACCCTGTCTCGAAAAACCAAACCAAACCAAAAAATTGCTGGGTGGTAATGGCCCATCCCTTTAATTCCAGCCTTTGGGAGGTAGAGGATTCCAGGCCAGCCTGATCTACATAGTATATAGCTCTGACTGTCCTGGAACACACTAAGACCCTGTCTTAAAGAAAAAAAAGTGATATGTTCTCACATATGCTATCCTGAGGCCACACATGCAGAGTATGCTTCTAGTTAGGACTAGCAACACATTTTCAGGCTTTGACTTCTTTATTTATAATCCATAAACACAAAATAAGGAATTTAAGGTCAAATTAGTGGTAGCACATAATTTTAATCTCACAAGGCAAATCTCCTGTGAGTTCAAGACCAACTGGGTCTACAAAGAAGTTTCTGGACAGCCAGTGCTACATAGTAAGACCCCGTCTCAAAATAAAAGCTGGGCATAGTGGTACACGCTCTTAATGTTGGGACTTGGGAAGTAGAGTCAGGCAGATCTCTGGCGTACAGTTAGTTATGTACTCAAGCTAGCCAAGGCTACATAGTGAGAACCTACCTCAAATAAATAAGCAAATAAATAAAACCTAAAACCAGTTTTATTACTGTTGCTGTTTTGATTTTCCAAGACAGGGCTTCTCTGTATAGCTAGACCTAGCTGTCCTGGAACTTGCTCTACAGATGAGGCTGGCCTCAAACGTAAAGATCCCCCTGCCTCTGCCTCCCAAATTCTAAAACTAAAGGTATGCACCACCATGCTGAGCTTAAAATCAATTTTTTAAAAAAAGATTTTATTTATTTATTTTGTATAGTCTTCAGTCTGCATACCAGCAGAGGGCACCAGACCTCATTTAAGGTGGTTGTGAGCCACCTTGTGGTTGCTGGGAATTGAACTCAGAACCTCTGGAAGAACAATCAGTGCTCTTAACTGCTGAGCCATCTCTCCAGCCCTTAAAAATCAATTTTAAATCTCTGGATTCACAAAACCCAAAAAGGCCCAGTTGCTAAACATTGTAAAGGTTTGTGTTGGCAGTCTTTCTGGCTTCTACATAAAAGGGGATGAAAACTACCAATTCTACTGTGAATTTTTCCTCCCAAGAGAGTAAGAGGATACATGCACTACTAAGTTATTTGTAAAAGTAAGGTAACAGAAATACCTTATATGCTGCAATGGACAACAAGGTAATTAGTGTAAAGAGTAGTGAAGAGTGGTACAGTTACTGACACAGAAAAGGTTCTACTTTTTTTCTTTTGAGAGAGTGTCTAGGCTGATCTCAAGCTTGCTATACAGGTAAGGGTGACCATGGATTTCTGATCCTTCTAACTTCACTTTCTCAGTTCTGTCATTACAGATGCATGCCACCATGTCCAGTTTATGCTCAGGGCTTTCTACGTGATAGGCAAGCACTCAACCAACTGAGCTACACTGCCTTCCCCAGAAGTTTACATTTCAACATTTGGTTGAAGATGATAGTAACAATACAGCATTTGCTTGTTAGGAGACATAATTATCTTACATTAAGTGGAAAGTAAACCAGGTGCAAAACATTGTGTCAAGACACGGGTGGGGGCCAAAAGGTTGGGATGGGTTTGGAGTCCTACATCAGGCTTCCCAGAGGAAGCACAGTATAGCATTCAGGTGTTACTGAAAACACAAAAGGCCAGTGGACACCTCAGGATACAGACATACCTAGTCTGGGGCAGACTCCAGAAGCTACCTGTAAGATAGTCCTATCTGGTTCACAGAGACAAACTCAGCAGGGAAGACATAGTAACCAACATGGGATTCCCTAGCTCTAGAGCTCAAGTCATGCCTGAAACTAAACAAGGCATATCCTAGAACGACATTACCTGAGGCTTTTCAATTAGTGAGTGCCTTCCTGTCTCACAGCCCAAATACACCTGGAGAAAACCAAGGATGACTTCACTCCATAAAAGGGAAGACTATGCACATTGTTAAACTGTTTTCTTACTGAGGCCCATGGAGACTTTTGGCCAAGGTTCCTAAATCATGGATAGCAATATCTTTTAACTATTGCCATAATTCATCTCAATAGACCATTAACAACAAAGTCAAGGGACATACCGGTTATTTTAAATTTTAGAAGCTGCATAAATACAGCTGTTAGGTACAAATTTTATTTTATATTTAAGTAAGGTTTCACTACTAAGCCTTGTTTGGCCTAGAACCTTCTATGTTATACAGGCTTCCAACTGAGAAAGATCCACCTGTCTTCCTTCTGTGTCACACATCCCCCCACTACTCCCTGCCCCTTACAGGCTCTCACTATGTAGTGATGTAGCCCATATTCTGGTTGTGATCTATGGTGGTTTGAGAGAAAAAGGCCCCCAAAGAGAGTGGCAATATTAGGAGGTGTGACTTTGATGGAGGAAGTGTGTCACTACAAAGGCAGGCTTTTTCAAGAAATCCACACCCAGTGTCTCAGACCACTTCCTGTTGCTAGTGAGTCAAGATGTAAGGACTCTCAGCTCCTGCTCTAGCACAATGTCTGCCTGCATGCCGCCTTACTTCCCGACACGATGATAACGGACTAACCCTCTGAACTGTGAGTCACCTCAATTAAATGTAAAGTTGCCATAGTCATGGTGCCTCCTCACAATAGAAACTTCAATAAGACAGGACTCTTTTGCCTTAGCCTACCTTGTGCTGGGATTATGCTACCACACATAATTTACAAACACTTGAACCACAATCATCAGCTTTAGCCTCCTGAGTGCTGACTACCAACGTGCAATCTGGCTCAACTACATCAACTGCTTTTTACCTTGACTTCTGTTTTATCTGTAGTTAAAGATAACCTTGAGGGCTGGAGAGATGGCTCAGAGGTTAGGAGCACTGGCTGCTCTTCCAGAGGTCTTGAGTTCAATTCCCAGCATCCACATGGTGGCTTACACCCATCTGTAATGAGATCTGCTGCCCTCTTCTGGCCTGCAGGCATACAGAACACTGTATATATAATAAATAAATCTTAAAAAAAAAAAAAAGAATTTTGCTTTTGTCAGCCACAACAAAGCCTCAGAATAACACAAGAAGAGCTCACTTACACTAACAAGAGGCTCTGTTGATGCCAGAATGTACTAACTAGAAGTCTGTGTTTATCCTAGCAGTTGAGTCTTGGTAAGGAAAGACGACGACGAGGGACTGGAGAGATATCTCTACAGTTAAGAGCACTTGCTGCTCTTGTAGAGGACTTAGGTTCATTTTCCAGTACTCACTATGGTTGATAACTGCCAATAACTTAAGTTTCAGGGAATCTGATCACTTCTGGCATCCATGAACTCCAGGCACACACATGGTGCACATCTATATATACAGATAAAACACATACACACATAAAATAAAATAAATAAATCACTTGAAAAGAAAGAAAGAAAGAAAAAAAAAGACTAGCATTTAAAAAACCGACAGTGGCTGGGCATGGTGATTCCTGCCTTTTATCCCAGCACTGGGGAGGCAGAGGCAGGTAGCCTACCTACTATGTTGAGAGTTCCAGGCTAGCAAGAGCTAAATAATGAGTCCCTTTCTGAGAGGGGCTAAAACAAAACAAAACAAAACAAAAACCCAAAACAAAAACACCAGATCAAAAAATAAATAAAAACTGCGGAGATAGATTTATTAAGTACAAACAGCCAAGAATCCCTCAATATACTCAAGCAGAGACAAAACTCAAGACACAGAAGCCAGGTGGCAGTGGCTTACTCCTTTAATCCTAGCACTAGGGAGGCAGAGGCAGGCAGATCTCAGAGTTCGAGGCCATCCTGGTCTACAGAGTGCCAGGACAGCCAGGGTTACACAGAGAAACCCTGTCCTGGGAGGAGGGGTGGGAGGAGAAATAAATAAGCTAAAAGCCAAACAAAACAAAACAAAACAAAGTAAACTCTGACACAAACCCCCACCAGCCTTCTGTAGTAGGTGCTATGTGATTCCCAAGTTGTCGGTGAGGTTTAAGAAAAGTGACTGTTATGTCCACAGTTTGCAGACACTATGAATCTGATGGAATTCTGAAATCACTAATTCACGGAAAATATGGCAAGAATGGACCTCATCCAGAAGGCACACGAGGAGAAGCTATATCACTGGTTCTCAACCTTCCTAGCACTTCGGCCCTTTAATAGAGTTCATCATGTTGTGATGACCCAAGCATAAAATTATTTCATTGCTACTTCATAACTGTAATTTTGCTACTGTTATAACTAATAATGCAAATATCTGTGTTTTTCTGTGGTCTTATGCAACTCCTGTGAAAGGGTTCAATGAACCCCAAATGGTCACAAACCACAAGTTGAAAACAGCTGATCTATATAAGAAATCAGATGTCATAGACCCCTCCAGGGAAAATGCCTCAGGGATGGAAGAGGACAAGCATGAACAGTACTTTAGAAGAATTTAAACGTGATCTCAGCAGGGGGTGTGGACAGTCTCCACAAAAATTAAGGTCATAAGAGTGAACTGATTAGATGCCTTCAAGCCTCCCTCCACACATCAGCTTTCCCAGAGACAACAGTGCCTTCCTTGAGGCAGCTTCACTTCCTGGCAGCAACAAACCTTGTGGAGGAATTCAAGCCACATTAAACATGAATATCAGCCTCAATTCAAACAGGTGAATTTTCTCATGAATCAACAGTATTCATACCAATGCCTTTTAATACTCCAAGAGTACAGCAATTTACTACAAACCCTTTAAAAGTCAAGAGCACTTGTTCTGGTAGAGGACCTAGGTTCCACTCCCATCATCCAAATGATGGCTCACAACCTCTTACAGTTCTAGTTCCACGGGGATTTGATACTCTATTCTGACCTCTTAGGGGAAGCCAGGCACACACATGGAATATATACATACAGGCAAAACATGGCAGAATGTGCACACACATTTTAAAGAAAATCTTGATCTGGCTCCCTCTTCTGGATTGCAGGCAGAAAACTGTATACATAACAAATAAATTAACACTGAGTTTGAGGCCAGCCTGGTCAACAGAACTAGTTCCAGGACAGTCAAGGCTTACAAAATAAAATCCTGTCTCGAAAACAAGAAAAAACCAAACCCCACAATGATAGAATCAGGAAACAAGACTATATTTATGATTTGATTTATATGAAATTTTAAGAGAGGCAAAACTGCAGAGAAAAACAGTAGTTGCTTGTTAAATGTGGAGACAGACTGCAGACACAATGAACTTTTGGAGTGATGGAAATGTTTCAAAGTTGGGAATTGTGGCAGGTGCATGCCCTTGATTCCAGCACTCAAGACGTAGAGGCAGGCAGATCTTTGTCAGTTTGAGGCCATCCTGATCTACATAGTGAACCATGGTCTCAAGAAACAAAGCAAAGCAGGGCATTGGTGGCGCACGCCTTTAATCCCAGCACTTGGGAGGCAGAGGCAGGCAGATCTCTGGGAGTTCGAGGCCAGCCTGATCTACCAAGCGAGTTCCAGGACAGGCTCCATAGCTACACAGAGAAACCCTGTCTCAGAAAAACCAAAAAAAAAAAAAAAAAAAAAAAAGCTTGGTGGTGGTATGCACCTTTAATCCCAGCACTTGGGAGGCAGAGGCAGGTAGATCTCTTTTGAGTGTGAGGCTACAAAGTAACTTCCAGGATAACTAGGTCTACACAGAGAAACCCTCTTTTTTTTTGTTTTGTTTTTTTTTTGAAGATTTTATTTATTTATTATGTATATAACATTCTGCTTCCATGTGTATCTGAACACCAGAAGAGGGCACCAGATCTCGTAACAGATCTGTGAGCCACCATGTGGTTGCTGGGAATTGAACTCAGGACCTCTGGAAGAGCAGCCAGTGCTCTTAACTTCTGAGCCATCACTCCAGCCCCGAAACCCTCTCTTGAAAAAAACAAACCAAAAAACAAAATTGTCTCAAAGTAGATTAAACAAACAAAAAGTAAAACATCATAGTACACACTTACAATACCAGCAAGAGGTTGGAGGATCAGGAGGAGTTGGAAGTCATGATTACATAGCAAGTTCAAAACCTGCCTAGGCTCCCTAAGACTTTGTCTCAAAAACAAATCAATGATTTAAAAGCTAATTGGGCCCCTGAGATATTAGTAAAAGTGAGTGATCGCCATCCAAGCTTTAAGAACTAAAGTCAATCCCTGAAAAATCATGGTGGAAGGAAAGAACGGACTCTTAGAAGCTGTCCTCAAATTTCATAGGTGCACTCACACATACATCACACCGAACATTAATAAATAGAGATGTTCAAGAAAAGAATAAGGCATAACCACATGTGTGGGTAATCTTGTTTATATAACAAAGCTTGCCTGCAGATCAGAGGGCAGAGCTAGCCATTAGCTAATCATAAAAGTCTGGAGATCTGTACAGACAGATAAAGTGAGATGGCTGGGTGGAGAGAATATAGGTGGGATGAGACAGGCACTTGGTCTCTTTTTCAGTCTGGACGACTTAGTAGAGGTAAGAGGTCTCTCTTATGGCTGGCTCCTTTACTTCTCTGAATTTTCAGCTTTAACCCTGATATCTGACTCTGAATTTTTATTATTAAGACCTATTAGAACTTGTGTTACACACATTTCAAATTTTTCATAATAAAAGTTATAAGAGATTTTTTTAAAAAAAAAGATTTTATTTATTATGTATACAACATTCTGCTTCCATGTATATCTGCACACCAGAAGAGGGCACCAGATCTCATAACAGATGGTTGTGAGCCACCATGTGGTTGCTGGGAATTGAACTCAGGACCTCTGAAGAGCAGCCAATGCTCTTAACCTCTGAGCCATCTCTCCAACCCCATAAGACAGTTCTTAATGGCAACCATGAAACTAGAAATTACTCATAGTGCTAATCCCCATCCAGGAAAAGAGGGCCTGGTTGTCAGGATGCTACCTCAGGACACCCCCACAGAACAGTCCACATAACCACATTTAGCTGCTTAATGTTTGCTTTTTTTTTTTTTATTTTTGTTTTTTCCAGACAGAGTTTCTCTGTGTAGCCCTGGATATCCTGGAACTTACTCTGTAGACCAGGCCGGCCTCAAACTCAGAGGTCCTCCTGCCTCTGCCTCCCGAGTGCTGGTTGGGATTAAAGGCGTGCATCTCCTCCAGTTGTTTAATAATGTAATGCCTGGCTGTGCCTACTTATCTTTTTTAATTTTAAAATTTATTTATACTTATGTATGAATATTCTGCATATATACCTGCATGCCAGAAGAGGACACCAGATCTTATCACAGATGGTGGTGAGCTAACATGTGGTTGCTGGGAATTGAACCCAGGGCCTATGGAAAAGCAGCTAGTGTAACCAATGAGTCATCTCTCCAGTCCTATGACTACTTACTTTGCCTGAGCCTATGAGGGAGGATGAGAAAAAATAAAGAGGATCATGGCTAGTTTATGTTGAATAAACAGCATAAATCTACCGGATACTTGGATGACTACAGTGATGATGTATGTGAACTACTAATGTTAGAATTGCGGGTGGTAAGATAGCAATGTGCACTCCTGAATACGAAAACAGAGAAGATGTCAAATACAAGGAGGGATACAAGGAAAAATTAGGACCTCCCCCAAAGACAGTGGTTATCAGTCCCCTGCAGACATGACTAGTAAAACGGTTCCACCACTAACTACAATAGGTGTGCTGTCAGAGGACACTGTCAGCATTCTCACAGAAGACCAAAGCCTCATCAAAGCACACTGGCCTGCTTTTATGTTTAGTTCCATCTAAATGTTCCTAAGGTATACAAGTCTCCTTTGCCTTTGTCAAGTACTTCTATGCTCATTCTTTTTACCTTTTCCCAGAGAGTCCACTATTCCAAAGATTTACAGCATACATCACCCCAAGATCAATGTGTCCCTGGCCTACTCAGTAACAGCTAAGCAGAATTACCATTATAGACACATTTTACTTTTACATGGCATTCAAAAATGAACTTGTACTTCTATATCTTAACAAAAATATGTTTATCATTTTTCTTTGGGGGGCGGATTGAGACAGGGTTTCTCTGTGGCTTTGGAGGCTGTCCTGGAACTAGCTCTTGTAGACCAGGCTGGTCTCAAATTCACAGAGATCTACCTGCCTCTGCCTCCTGAGTGCTGGGATTAAAGGTGAGCACTATCAATGCCTGGCCATGTTTATAATTTTTAAAAAATATTTTATTTATTTATTTATTTATTTATTTATTTATGATGTATGCAACATTCTGCTTCCATGTATATCTGCACACCAGAAGAGGGCACCGGATCTCATAACAGATGGTTGTGAGCCACCATGTGGTTGCTGGGAATTGAACTCAGGACCCCTGGAAGATCTTAACCTCTGAGCCATCACTCCAGCCCTCATTTGTTTTTTTTGTTTTATTTTTTTATTTTTTTTTTTGGAGACAGGGTCTATACAGACCAGGCTGGCCTTGAACCCAGATCCTCTGGGATTAATGTTGTGTTTTAGTTTTAGTCTGGTTTAGTTTTGATTTTTTTTTTTTTTTTTTTGAGACAAAGTCTCAGTATCTACTCTAAGCTACTTTGACTTGGAGCTTCCACATCAATTTTCCAGATGTTGGTATTACAGGCAGGAGCTACCATATCTGGAGTGCATTTTTACTTATAGCCCTCAAAATTCAAAATCTCCCTTACGATTTTGTTTAAAGCACTGATTTTTTATTTTTCTAAAAGTTTAACTGGACATGATGGTTCATGCCTTCAATCCCTGCACTGGAGAGGCCGAGACAAGTTGACCTCTGTGTGTTCGAGACCAACCTGGTCTACATATTGAGTTCTAGGACAGCCAGGACTGCATAGTGATGAGAGCAATGGCCAGGAGGACAAGCACAATCTTGTCCACCACCACAGGGACTGTAGACATGGCCCAGTGGTTAAGAGCAGGGGAACTCAATTCAATTCACAGCACCACATGGTGGGTTTGAAACTGTCTCTAACTTGAGCTCTTACTGTGGAACTGGTGCACATGTGGAGGTCAGAAGACAATCTGTGATGTCAGTTACCTACTTTTATTTTTCTTTTTAAAGACAGGGTCTCACAATGTAGCCCTGGCTATTCTTGAACTCAATATGTAGACCAGGTTTGCCTCTCACAGAGATCCACCAGCCTCTGCCTTCCAAGTGCTGCGCCACCAAGCCCAGTTAATTTTACTTTTAAGTTGGTTCCATGAATCAAATTTGGGTGGTGGCCAGGTAGTAAAAGTCAAAATACTCACTGACTCTACATAATTTACCTGATCAAGCCTTCTAAGATGTTCCATTGAATGTTTTGCTACCAATTTGCCAGTTCTTCAAATGTCACTCAATGCTCCACAAGGTATATTTGTTAGTCTGATTATTGGCTTGCCTTTCATCTATCACACTGGTCCCTAAACCTTACTCAGTGTGAACACATACAAAGATCAAGAACACTTTCTCATTTGAGCAGGTTCTAGGAAGGAACTGTGACTGCAGGAGAGGAAAAAGCAAGCCGGCATTGGCCCTTCACTGGAGAGTAAAAAATAGGCAGCTGGGGAGAGAGTTCAGTGGAGAAACTGCTTGCCAAGCAAGTATGAAGACCTGAGTTTGGATCCCCAGTGCCCTTTCAAGTGCAGAGCAGGCTTAGTAGCCTACCTGTACTCCCAGCATGCTCACCAGGGCCACAGATAGGATCCCTAGGGCACAATGACTAGCAAACTCTGGGTTCAAAAACCCTGACTCCCTATATAAGGAGCAAAGCCATTGGGAAGAATACTTGGACCTCTCGTCTCCACAGGAATGCACATGACCGTGCCCAATGTCTGTCCCTACACACTTTGAACATGCATGTATAAATGAGTACACCACAGATGAGAAAAAATTTAAAAAGCTGGACATACCCTCCAATTCTCTGGGTGACTTGAAGAGTCTTTTATAGACTCAAAGATGGGGTTAGAGCAGCAATCAGGTACAGTCCATCTTTCCTGCCTTTCTTCATTTCCCCCGACCCTCAATACTGTAACAAGATGATCAGATGGTGATGGGTACCTTTCCTTCCAGCTTGAAGAAAGTGAGGTCACTTCTGTTGTCATTTGCCCTATCCAATACTCTACATCTACCAACAGCCTCAATCCAATACAGCATCTCCAGATCTTTATTTCAGAAAACATTTTAGCCGCACATGTCAAAAAGGATTGTTTCTAAGCATCACTACTTCCCAAAGAAACATCTATCCTTTTTAGTCTGTATTTTAAAGGAAATTGGAAGGTTATCTCCTTAACACAGACTTTCAAGTATGTTCAGCAGTTACCACTTGGTGACATTGTGTTACAGAGGTATCTAAAGTAGTAGGCAGCAGGAGGAGAGTCAAGTTTTCCTTTTTGACTTTAAAGAATTGGTAAATATGCCACTCAAATTTATTCCTGCTTCACAAGCAAGGTTAGAGAATGAAGAGGAGAGACCACAGGGAAATTCAGTATTTAGGTATATAATGTTAAGATTTCCTCACTGAGATGTAATGACATCCATACAAATACTTTAGCTGCTATTACCAGCAAGTTTTTCCAATCAGGGCTAACAACACAGAAGCCAACAGCCTCAGCATTTCCTAAGATGGTCTAGAGCAGTGGTTCTCAACCTTCCTAACACTATGACGACTTAATACAGATTCTTATGTTGTGGTGACCCCCAGCCATAAAATGAAGGCTTTTATGGAGAAAGTGTGTTACTGGGGGTGGGCTGGGCTTTGAGCTTTCAAAAAAAAACATTCCAAGTTGAGAATCTCTTTCTTCCTGTGGTCTGCAGATCAGGATGCAGAACTCTCAACCAATTCTCCAGCATCATGTCTGAATACTGCCATGATTCCCCCCTTGATGATAATGGACTAAACCTCTGAAACTGTAAGCAAGTCCCCAGTTAAATGCTTTCTTTTATAAGAGCTGCTGTGGTCATGGGGTCTCTTCACAGCAATAGAACAGTGACTAAGACAGTAGCACTTCTGTATCCAAAGCTTCAGTTCAGAGTCTTTGATAAGGCAAGTCCAATAGCAATTTGGTTCTAGGCATAGACACTCTGACTTGCTGCCCTATTTGAGGTTTCAATTTTATGCACTGTATTTTCAACACTAGGTTCTTGAACAGAGAGAATACTTCAGTGAAATTATTTTTCAACCACAAATTCCAAGTCCACCTCACGTCTGTTAACACCACAAATTTCTTTCTGAACTCCCAAATCACAACCCCCTCAAAAATTCAAGAAAGTCATTATTAAAATTTTAGTTACTCGAGTAAATATTTGCATCCCTTGCCTACAATAAACTAAACACAGAAGATAAATCTTGCTCCGTAAGGACACTGAAACACAATGAACATTCAGGGCCTCTCTCTTAAGAGTCAAGTATCTTTGGACACTCTTAAAGGAACTTCTGAAATGAGGCGTGTTAGCTGACATCCTAGAGCACTTGGATAGGATTTGTTCAGTATTCAAAGTATTAATGAATAGAGCACACTAGGTGTAAGGAGGAATCAAGGCACACACGGAATAATTTCTGCCCATGAGAAAAACCTCAAGAAAATCCATGGCCACAATGAGCTGCTTTTTCCTTTCCTATTGCTGCCTACAGCTGTCTATCCTCAGAGACAAGTAACAAGACTGCAATTGAAAAATTTCCCCGAGAAAAGATTAAACCCAGCAGCCCACCATAACTGTCACCAGCCCTTCCCACACTTACCAGTGCCATAGGGAGGGTGCAGCCGATGGCAGTGAGCATCAACGGCCTGAAAAAATACAGGTGGTAGTTTCAATTTTTATTTAGAATTCTTACTTGCCAACTGCCTGAAATCTTTTAAGGCTACACCAATAGGTCTTCATGCCTCATCCAGTTAAACCACTTTGTGGTCTGCTCACATTTGTTAACAAAACAGTAGTCACTCAACAGCCCAGATGAAGAAAAGGTGAAAGCTTCTAGGCCTGGGGTAGAAAAGTAGAGCTAACTTTAAAAGATGAGGATGAATGGCTGTGGGTCTTATGTGAGTGGGAAAGCAGGAGGGAGATGACGTAACAAAGGGTTAGGGAAGGAGAATAGCAGAGACAAAAGTGAGCAGCAGCCACCACGGGTGTTCAGTCAGCACAGGCAGTGGTATTGGCAGTGCCGTCCCACTGACTACAGGCAAGGCTCACCCGGATCTATTTGATTCCCCATACCTCACACCTACATATTCTCAGCCTCCAAAAGGTCAGCTCTTAGGCTGACAACTCTCCCATTCACTTTCTTTACAAATCCTGAGCCAGGACTTGTAGTTAATTGGGGTATCCACATGTAAACATGCTTTCAAAATCTGGTAATACACACAAATTTGAAGATTGCTAACTGGTTTAACTGAACTCATTCCTGACACTATGGCCTCTGTTCATTAAAATCAATACCAAAAACCAAACAAACAAAAAAACCAAAAAAAAAAAAAAAAAAAAAAAAAAAAAAAGCAGAAAAACTAAATCTCCAAAGATTTCACTCAAATAGATTTATGCAAAATATGTGAAAATAGGAAAGTTACTATTTCTTTACCATGAGATTTTTGCCTGTTTTTAAGACAGGGTTTCATGTAGTCCACGTTGGTCTCGTGCTCTATGCCAAGGGTGACTTAAGCTACTGATGCTCCTGCCTCTGGCTCCCAAGTGCTGAGATTACAGGTGTGCATCACTGTTCCTAGTTCATGTGATGGCGAGGATAGGAATGAGGGATTTGTGCACACCGGCTAAGTACTCTACTAACTGAACTACATCCCTAACCTTGAGAGCATGTCTCTAAAATTATGATCAATCCCAAACATTTACAAAAGTAAACCCCGAAGCTTATTTATTAATTGCCCTGCTTTAGCATCAACTCGTGAATAGGCCCACTGTGTCTCCATCGTAACTCTACTCACCCTCTAGATTACTGCAAAACAAATGCCTGAGTGTATTTTTTTTACGGTGCATTCAACTGAAAAATTCCTGGACATACTGAGTTCAAAAGGTGGCCTGCAGCTCCTTTTAAAATTCTAACAGATTTCTGAGGAATGACATATACAATAGCTGTCATTTCAATAAATGAAGGTCATGTCCAGTAGCTACAGTACAACAAAACAAAAAAGTTGTAGAAAATGAGCCCGGCGGTGGTGGCACACGCCTTTAATCCCAGCACTCGGGAGGCAGAGGCAGTCGGATCTGAGTTCGAGACCACCCTGGTCTACAGAGCGAGTTCCAGGAAAACCTCCAAAGCCACAGAGAAACCCCCGTCTCAAAAAAAAAAAAAAAAAAAAAAAAAAAAGAGAACAGAACACAGTAGGACTGAAAAGTTGTGTCTGTTCTTGTAACCACAATACATCTTACCAAAAAATGACTTCAGTCTTTTGCCTCTTTCAGCTAGGTAAGGCAGAGCATCCCGAATACTAAACCAGCTAGGCACACCATCCCTTCACCCTCTTCTCCAGAGAGTATACTGCAAAGACTTACATATTCTAAGGAGAGTCACAAATTCCAAAAGCACGTATCAAAGGCTGAGCTTCTCCTGCCTTACCAATCAATCCCCTTTGCTAGACTCAAGTCACAGAACCTTTTTCTGTTACATTAAACTTTGCAAACAGGAAGAAGTTGAGTTGCCCCAGACCATTTAATTAACGTTTTCTTTTCTGTCAGACCTAAACACCCACAGGAGCCAGCACTGCTCCCAAGCTATTACCATCCACCTGTTTGTGTTCAACTCTTGTAACTGTAAACCTATAACCTATTGTTAGAAGTCTCCAGGGCTTTCCCAGCATGTAGTGATCCAGCTGGTGAAGCCAGATACTGCCCCTCAGATGACAGTAAGGATGAATGGTGCGCCTGTTGGTCTTGTGTCAACTTGATACACAAAATAGAATTATCGGATAGGGGAGAATTTTAATTAAGAACATTTAAGATCAGGTTGTGAGGTTATTTTCTTAGTGACTGATGGGGGAGGACCCAGCCCACTGTGGGTGGTTCCATCCCTGGGCTGGTGGTCCTGGGAAAGCAGACTGAGGGCTGGAGAGATGGCTCAGAGGTTAAAAGCACCGACTGCTCTTCCAGAGGTCCTGAATTCAATTCCCAGCAACCACATGGTGGCTCACAACCATCTGTAATGAGATCTGGTGCCCTCTTCTGGTGTGCAGATATACACGGAAGCAATATGTTGTATACATAATATCAAAAAAAAAAAAAAAAGCAGGCTGAGCAGCATCCCTCCACAGCCTCTGCATCAGCTTCTACCTCCAGCATCTGTCCTAACTCCCTTTGATGGGAACATAAGCCAAATAATCCCTTCCATCCCAACTTGCTTTTGGTCATGGTGCTGTGTCACAGCAATAGAAACTCTTACTAAGAGAGAGCTGAGAACCCCAGAACATTTCAGGAAGGCAAAACTCAGTGAGAGGACAGAGGAAGGAGTCATGCAGGCTGGAGTCAAGAAAAGCCACTTAATTTTTCAGAGTAAGTTAATCAGAAGGATTTGCAGTGGATCTACCATTGCAGAAGTAGAAATATGGGAAAGAATATGATCAAAATATAGTGCATTATTATTTAAGCCTCCTCTCACTATTCTTAAAAAAAAAAAGAAAAAGAGGGAAAGAAAAAGTTTTAAATTATCTTAAGGTAGAAGCCAAACTATTTCCATTCCCTTTTCGTTCAGCCTCTATTTGAATGTTAAAACAGAAGACGGCTAAGAATGTAGCTGAGTTGGTAGAGTACTTGCTTAGTATGCTAGACACCCTGGGTTCAATTCTCAGGTATGTATTAATTCTCAGATAGCACACAGGCTTGTATGTAATCCTAGCATTTGGGAAGCAGAGGCAGAAGAAATGCAATGCTACCTTTGGCTGTCCAAGTTTGAATCCAGCCTGGGCTATAAAGATCTGCCTAAAACAAAAAGCACAGAGGACATTCAGCAAGTGTTTACTGAAGAACTATTAGGCACTCACTACCAACAGACCTGAGTTTAGTTGAGTCTGCCCCTTTTTGACTCAAAGTTATTATCTTTTCCTTTTATTTTTTCCTGTCTTTCTTCAAAAGCTAGCCAAAAGCTAAGAATGATACTTTGGGCTTCCTTACTCTGTCTCTCAAGCAGTATGGATTTTCCACTTTCACTCCCAAATATCACAGGAACAATCTCTAGGCCACATATGAATATTTTCCTCTGAAGCCTGTTGAGCTGGGCCCCATAGTTCAGGTCACCCTCAGCACCACTGTCTTCCATGATCCTACTACTAAGACCCATTAAGCCCTGCTCAAAGTCTCCAACTGCTTTTCTAGTCCAAAGTCCTTATTCCTCCAGGCAAAAACATAGTAAAGTCTATCACAAAATTCCCCAGCTCCTGGTACGAACTGCTGTCTTAGTTTGGGTTTTATTGCCACGAAGAAACACCAGGACCACAGCAACTCTTATAAAGGAAAACATTTAATTGGGGTTGGCTTACAATTAAGAGGTTTAGTCCACTCATTTTGGTGGGAAGCACGGTGGTACAAAAGGCAGACATGGACTGGAGAGTTCTACATCTGGATGGACAGGCAGCAGGAACAACGAGTGAGCCCACCCCCAGTAACACACTTCCTCCAATAAGGCCATCTGTCCTAATCCTTTCAAATAATGCCATCCCCTATAAGCCCACAGAGGCCGTTTTCATTCAAACAAACACAACTTCCCAAATGTTAGGATGACAGATGTGTGCCATCATGGCAAATTTTGGATTATGTGTAGTTTTTGTGCTTTACATCAAAAGCCACCTTGCTCCTCTCCTTAAAAAGTTTCTACTGGCAACTGGAGAGATGGATCAGCAGTAAAAGCCCCAGCTGTTCTTCCAGAAGACCAATCTTTAATTCCAGCATTCACATGGTGGGTCACAGCCCCCAGTCTCAGGGAATTAATGCTCTCTTCTGGCCTCCATGGGCACCAGATACATAGTGCATAGACTTAACATACAAACCAAACAACTATACACACAAAATTAAAATATTTTGTTTTGTTTTGTTTTTCAAGACAAAGTTTCTTTGTGGGTAGCTCTGGCTCTCCTATTACTCACCCTGTAGACTAGGCTGGCCTCAAACTCAGAGATCCGCCTGCCTCTGCCCCCCAAGTCCTGGGATTAAACATGTGGGCCACCACTGCCCAGCTTAAAAATGTTTCTACTGGATCTTCCAACATCCCTAAGTGCTGGAATTACAGACCAGTGCCACATCCCCTGGTTTTATTGGTATGAGCTCTGTGCATGCTAAGGCAAACACTCCACACAGAATATGTTCCTCCCGACCCTGTGTCAACACAATTATAGGAAAAAATTAGATGCTAGATGCTACATGTCTATAATCTCAGTATTGAGAAAGCCGAGGCAAGAGGAACACCTTGGATTTGAGTTCAGCTACTTACAAGGTGGGAGGACTGACAGTGTTCCATTATGCTATCACATTAAAAACAAAATACAAGCTGGGTAGTAGTCGCCCACACCTTTAAATCCCAGCACTCAGGAGGCAGAGGCAGGCAGATTTGGGGGCCAGCCTGGTCTACAGAGTGAGTTCCAGGACAGCCAGGGATACACAGAGAAACCCTGTCTCAAAAAATAACAAAAAATTCAAAACACATAAAAGATTCTTTTTTTAATTATGTGTATATGGGTATGTATGCATGTGTGTATGAGTATGTGCCTATGTGTGCAGGTGTCCACAGAGCCCCTGGACCTGAGTTACAGGTAATTGTAAACTGTGTGATAGGGGGTGGTCAGAAACTGAA